CTATATTCAACTTCCTTCAGCTGCTGCATGTGAAAACATGATTGACACATACATGACCGACAAAAATCCCAAGGTATGTTTTGCACAAGTAGATTTAATTATGTTATTAATAAACGTATAATTATATTATTTCTAATTATACTTGCAATTATGGTATAATAGGTGCATAGGCTTAACTTTAACCATTCAATATGAATGTTATTACATGATAAATTTTATGTATGAAATATTGTATAATTTTATGTACAATATTAGGAACTATTAATTGAAAATTAATTTATATAAAAAAGTATCTATTCTTCATTAGTAATAATTATTATTGTTTATGTTGACACAGTCTTTGAAATATTAAGTTTTAAAGATTTATAAAAAAAATGAAAATAGTATATTGTTATGCTATATAAATTTAACACAATTAATTCATAACAGTTTAAATAGCATATGTTTTGCTATGCAAATTACGAAAAATATATTATCATTGCTGTTTCTTTATATAATTATTAATTTATTTGGTTATGAACAAAGTATATATTTATAACTTTAAAAAACATAATTTTTACTACAATTGCAATTGCATCTTCACTGTTATATATTTTTAGCAGTGTTATAAACAAGATTGCAATAACAAACTAATTTTTCAACTAACAGAAACTGATATAAAAAATGTATGCAGTTGAAATAATGATCTCTTACTAATCCTTACATACAATTCTAATCATATAATATTTCTTGCATTCCATTGCACGATGTATGGTATTAATAACTTAATCAGTAAAGTATATTTTCCCTGTGCTGTACTCACTTTTCTCCTACCACATTGTGTTAAGTATACTTGATATGTTTATACATTGATTGTAAGCAATGATGTCCCTGCCATTTTGCATTTTGACTTGTAACTTTTAAATGAAATTTATTTCATAAAGTAATGAGGTATTTTTCTTTCCTTTTATTCAGTATTACATTTTATAGTATTGTATTCAGTATTTTTATTGTCTTGTATATTCATTATTTGATTATTAAAATACTTTTATTAAAATAAATACAAAAAGTAGTTTACATATTTGGTAGTAAATAAAATCGAAGTTCATTTTAAAATTAGGTTTCTTTTGAAAATTTTATTCATAATATTATAGATATTAATTTAGGTAGAATTAATCCATGACTCTAGCAGTTTTCTTGTATTTAAAATTTTTAACGTTTAATAATTTTACAGTAATATGCATTTAGATATTTTAAAATTTAAACATCGTTATTTTAAGTAATAAACTTTATTGATATTATCTTATTTTAAAAATTTATATTTTTGATATATTTCTGCATTTTTACTTATGTAATATGTTTATATATTTTATTATATTAATAGTCAAATACCTTATGTTATATCTAACATTGCATGTTTTAAATTGTTTATATATATATTGCATATGTGTACTAAATAATTTACGTAATTTCCGACGTTTTACACTAATCAAAACAAAATTATTTCAATAGTCAATATATTTTTGCTTACATATTAAGTTTTAATTTATATAGTAATCTGCAAACATTTTAGTTTGAAATTAATTTCTTATTAGGAGATTTTTAATTAAAGATTATTAAAGAAAAAAGCAATATGAAATTGATAATATTACAAACATTTTCAAATTCCAAATTTTTTTATACATGGTTATATACAAATATTTAAGTGAATAATATTGGTAAGGATAAGTATGGCAATGGCAGGTGATGCAACAATTATCAACCCATGAGATATGCCTAGGCACAGGTTGTTTGGTTTATTCAAATGGAGTTTGGAGACGAGCTGTAATCAGTAGCCATTCACAATCCACAGGCTTTGATGTAAAATTCATTGATACTGGAGTGTATGATGAAATTTTCTCAGATAGCGTGAGTTTTTCAAAAAGAACGAGCTCAACCTACATGCTAGATTCATTGCATTTATAAATGACATAATATTATTGCTTGGAATCGGAGTTACTTAATACCATACTTGCTGCATTGAAGAATTTTATTGCAATGATGTTATATTCATTTTAGATAATTAAAAATTTATAGTAGAATTCAATTTTTTAAACTTGTATTAAAACTAATTATTAATCTTTTAAGCATAAATCTTAAAACTAATATTATATTGCTTTATTTATTAGTACTAAGCAGAATGCTTGATTAAGTACTTAAAATATTTAATATGATATAGTATTTATTACAATAAACACACTGTTATATTATTTGCTTTTATATTATTTTTATTTAAGAGGGATATGCGTTGTTAACAAAGATTATCTATTTAGGTTCTAGCTTTACCAGGAGAACTCTCAGTAATGCAGAATCAGGCTGTTGAATGTTCCCTTGTATATGAAACGTCTACTCCTGAAACAAATATTAAATTGAAAGAATATGTTGAAGGAAAAGAAGTAATTGTATATGTTGATGAAGTTGATAACAACAGGTAAAGTTAATTTTTAATTATATACTGTCATTGAAATGTACTTTTGACCTCTACTCTGTGTAGAGTGTTAAAAAACTGTTTCTATAAATCTACTTCAGTTATGACTTTGTTTACTTCGTTTATTTATATGAAATTTATTTACTTTTACAGACTCATTGTAAAATTGTTTGATTTATCTGGTAATAAAATAAACATTTTTGAGGATTCAGATGAAAAAATATCACCAATATGTCCAATGCCTATTCTAAGTTCTACTCATAAAGTATCAGTATCATATGCTGATCATTGTGCTAATATCTGGCTACAACGTAATACAGAATATGCTTTAGACAAGGATTTAACTGAAGCACTTGATAAGTATTATTCTATGTCTGGAGAATTAGCAGAACCAAAAGTAGATCTTTTATGTGCTGTTAAAAGTGTAGATAATCACTGGTATAGAGCTAAGATCATAAAATGTTCAGAAACTGGAATTTATGTAAATTTCATTGATTATGGCAATAATGAAGAAGTTACTCCCGACGTAGTAATGGTTTTAGATTCACAATTTTTTGCACCGCATCAGTTAGCTGTTAACGTGTCACTACCAGTGACGCTTAATGGTACAATATCTGAACAATTAAATGTACTACAAAATTATTTATCAAACAGAGAACTTACTGCTGTTTTTTACAATATAAATAAAAAGTGGGTAGTAGAATTATTACATGAGGGAGAAAAAATCAGTGACAAGTTTCGTTCGTTCAATTCAGCATCGCAAGAAATATCTGGAACAAGGCAACCTCAAATTCACAACATAACAGTCGGCTGCAAATATGATGTATATGTATCTCATGTGGATTCGCCTAGTCAGTTCTGGCTTCAGTATGTAGACGATGCTGTAAATCTTTCGAATAAGCAAAAAGAACTGCAAGCTCAAGCCCCTACATTTTCACAAATAGATGGAATATTAGAAGAAGGAAGTCTGTGTATTGCTGTGTACACTATTGATAATTTATGGTATAGAGCACAGGTACTTGATGCTGACGAAGATATTACAACAGTTCGATTTATTGATTACGGAAATACAGATGTTATTGACAATAAATCTGGAAATATTCGACAGATACCAGATTCATGGAAAGAAATAAAAGAATATGCAATCAAATGCAGATTGGATGTTATTCCTGTAGATACAGAAGATTGGAATGTTACAACTTGTGAGAAATTTGAAAATTTAGTAACATCTGTTGACTCGATACAGGCAGTAGTAGTAGCAAATAGTGCCCCAAAACGGGTAGATTTGTTAATAAATGGTAAAAGTGCTAGTGAAACATTAGTCGAAGATCATCATGCTGTAAAGGTTCATACTGAAGAAGAATTAATAGATGAAATAGTTGATCTTGAATTGGATCCTCATTCTGCTTTTGTGAGTCATATTAACTCCCCTAATGAGTTTTGGGTTCAGGAAGAAAAATCTGTTGGCGATCTAGAAATAATGACTGACAGATTTATTGTAGCACATATGTTCCCTAAAGTTGATGAGATTAAAGAAAATTTACTATGCGTTGCTAAGTATCCTGAAGACGAAGCTTGGTATAGAGCACGCGTTTTATCACACAGTGATAATGCAACACGCGTTATATATATTGATTATGGAAATTCAGCTACCTCAACTGAAATACGTGCTATACCTGCAGATCTTGCAAACATACCTCCTTTATCAAGAAAATGTCACTTAACTATGCCAGAAGGAATCACTGAATGGTCACAAAAAGCTTGCGAAGAATTTATAAAATTAGCAGCTGATGGAGCAACAATATTTTTGTTAGATGTGTTGAAAGAAGATGAAACATCATTGGTGAAATTAACATTAGATGGTAAAAATGTAACAGACATACTTGCAAACTTCTGTGAATGTTACCTGCCGATCATAGAAGAACGATTACCTCCTTTAGGTGAAGAAAATTCACCGAACGTATTTATTAGTCATATCAATTCTCCTGATGAATTCTGGATTCATACCGAAAGCAGCATCACAGACTTGAACATGATGTCAGAAAGATTACAAGCAGCTCCCAGTTTCCTACCATTAAGTACATTTGAAATTGATACTATTTGCGTTGCAAAGTATTCAGTAAATAACCAGTGGTGTAGAGCTAAAATTCTTTCGCATTCTGAACATGGTACTGAAGTTCTATATATAGATTATGGCCATACAGGGATTACAAACGAAGTACGGATGTTACCAGTAGATATCATTAATATTCCTCCTTTGTCGAAACGTTGCGCTCTGCAAAAACCAGATACCATAAATAATTGGTCGTCAGATGTTTGTAGAAAGTTTGAAAGTCTTTCTGCAAATGGAAAAACAATGTTTCAGTTTGAGATTCTTGATGACACTAACGATCCTATATATGTTCAATTAAATTATCTTGGAAAAAATATTGTTGACACTATAGAACAATTTCCTAAAAATATATCTCAGGATGCCACGATAAAAGAAGAGGAAGATTTATGCAAAAATGGAGACATAAATATAGAAAATTGTGAAGAAATTATAAAAACAGAACAAGTTGAAACTGAGGGGGAAGTCACTTGTGAAGAATATGATGCGGATGTAAGTGAATCTTCAAAAAATATTGAAAGCCCAAATCAAGAATTAAAGGAGGACACAAGTAATTTAAGTACCAGCTCCATTTTAGAACTTAGTGTAGATGAAATAGTCCAAAATATGAAAGTAGATGAACCAGAAGATGAGGAAACATTTAGAAATCATAATAGTACTATTGGATCTAACGAAAAGGACGATATTGATAAAGTAGCGGAAGATATAGAACATTTAGAAATACAAGCTGAAACGCAAACATGTGGCAACCAAAATGAAGTACAAGAAATAAAAGTTGATATAGAAAGTAATGAAGAACATATTGAAATAAAAACTGTGAAAGAAGAAGTTTTATCAGAAGCAACAGAAAAAATGACATTGAATACAGTTCCAGTCTTGTTAGATGTTGAAAATCCTGTGAAAAATACTGAAGAAGAAGAAGAAAATGATATAATAAAATTAGAAACACAAATATCTAATAATGAAATGGAAGTATGTGAACCAAATACAAACATCCAATGTTGTGAAAAGCTTAAAGAAGAAAATACATCACAATCAGCAAAATCTTCAAGTGAGCAATCTGCAGAAGTAGTAGAAGAAATTGTGACAAACAATACTTTTATAAATGTTCTAACAGAAGAAATTAGCATTTCAAGTACTAATCAAGAAGAAAATCGTGGTACTGAAAATTGTAAAATACAAGACACTAATAAAGTAAATGTTAGCATACCGGATTCTAAGGATAACTCTGAAGTAAAAAGTGTGCATGAAAAGATATTTTCAGAGTTACAATCTGTAGAAGTAGCAAGCAACGAATGTAAAATTACCGATACGCAGCAAGATACAGTTTCATTAATTGATAAAGTAAATGTTAGCATAATAGATCCTAAGGATAACTCTGAAGTAAAAAGTGTGGATGAAAAGATATTTTCAGAATTACAGTCTGTAGAAATAGCAAGCAACGAATGTGAAATTACTGATACACAGCAAGATACAGTTTCATTAATTGATACAACAATTCATGTAAAGATTAATGAAAACAATGATGCAAAAAATTCTTTCCAGGTCGAAAGTGTCCCTACAACGTTAGAATGATTATGCACAAAGACTGACTTCGTATTTGAGCATACTTTTTAAATGATATTGAAACTGCGTCTTCAAAATGGATGTTATTTACTTTTTCAAAGAAATCTGTATTTCATTTAAAAATATTTTATTATA